ACACTCACACACCGCCAAACATGCCCATCACCACACCCAACGCTCCAGATCTCACACACGACAACCACGCAAAAAGCGACAAGCCAGCGCCACACGGAGCCACCGTGAACGCACCTCCTCACCTCGCATTAACAGACACACCAGCCCTCAGTCTCAACGCACACATTCTCCACACCAGCACAAGCACTATTCCAAGCATACCAAACATCAAAAACAACCAAAACAATCACAACGCTCCACTACCCGTTCCAGACGCTCTCGCACACGACGCTCTCGCACCTCCAACTCTCGCCAAAGCTGTCGAGAGCGATTGACACGATCGACACACCACCGCTCCTCTCGCAGGACAAGACATCAACCATCACCAACACCGACTAGAACACCCTCACCCAGCCACCAGACCGAACACCACACTTCCAGACACTCTTCACGAGCCTCCCCAACGACACGACCAGGCTCACCACACACAGCACCGCCACCTCCTACACCTACAGAGGACACTAGCGACAGCGTCTTCGCTCTGCAGCACTCGCCCTCAGACAAAACCGCTTCAAACGTCTCAGCAGCACCACATGTCACCACAATCTCTCACAACCCTCCTCCACCACCAACCTCACCACTTCCACTACCACCACCCCCTACACAACCACCACCACCACCACCACCACCACCACCAAAAACACCACCGATACCGGCACCACCACGAACCTTATCCAAGACATCACCATCCACCAAACCATCACAACCGCCACCACCGACATACCCCACACGACCTAAGCAGCCATCATACCCACCTTCACAGCATCTACTTCCTCGCCAAGTTGATCAAGACCCCGCGCCATGAGAGCCACCTGCGGCCGAATGATTCAGCTATCAACATAATTCAGCAACATATTTATTTCATTATTTCTGTATTTATTTATTCACACAATCAATGGCACCATATTATTACATCCGCACAAAAAACAGGACACAACACACTACACCAACAAACCACTACCAACGACACTCTTCCCAGCAGGGCACATCGCACCACCCAGCTCGACTCCGACCAATAGCACTCGGAAGTTTCACCCGGCGAGTTTCACCCTCCACCTTGGAGCAGAATTCAAAAAACGCAGAGTCACTACCTACATCTTTGTAATCTCACTGTTTCACCACGGCCGTTCACTCGCTTTATTAATGCAGTATTTCTGGACTTTGGAATTTGGAATTTGGAATTTTTCTGTTTTCACACTACACCACCGGCTTTCAACTTTTTCCACGTTGCATTCACATGACCTGTTTATTACTATCACCTTCTACCTCAGCCTTTTGATTTCAACTGTTTGTATTACCTCGACATTTTCGTACTGCCACGATGGAAGCGGCATTCTGGAGCTGGACCCAGGACACACCAGCGGCACACATCTACGGAGTGTACACCTCACACAACAGCTGCCGCACCACCATCTATCATACCAGAGAGCAGCTCCATTCATTGCAACAGACAATGTACTTCGACGAGACTACTTACCCACATCTCCCTCCACTATTGTTGGACCGCATATTGAGGATCAGGGCACTGGTCAACCACGCTGCAGACGACCTCACAGCTGCTTTAGACCACATTGAGGCAATCGGCCATTTATCGCCCAGCCAATTGAAAGGCAAGGGCAAGGGCAAGTCCCCAGACACATCCGACCTCACCGATGACCCAACCACAAGCATTCTCCAAAGTGAGCTTATTCACCCATACACACCCCCACAAGCCATGGCACAACCTTACGGGGCGCCGTTACTGCAAGAACCTTTCCACTCCTCATCGCAGGGGTAAGCTTCCCGAAATTTTTCTGAATCTACTTTACTGAATCTCACTGCTCGAAATCAGCTTGGATTGTCTCACCCAGCACACGTGAAGTTTACTGCAGAGTTCACTGAATTTCCTTCTGAAGTGTACTGCAGAGTCAAACTGAAAATGTTTCACCCGGGAATCCTTACCTTTCCATTTCAATTTTTAAGTTCAATTTTGATTTCAAGAGTTTAATTGAAGTCAATTGCACGCTCCTCCACTTTGCAACGTGCACCACGCCACCTCCTGTCACCACCAACATCACAACACGTGAACATTCACAGCCAACTTTCACCAGCACTCTGCAACGTTGCAATCACGCTCATCGAACATACCTGGCAAACCACATACCACACCTTTTTGCACCAACCCAGCCTTCACTTGCTCAACACACGCTACGTTGACAACCGCTATATCTTACTCAACGAACAATACAGATCAGCACTCCCCATCACCACACTGGCCCATCCCGATTTTTATGAACACCCAGTCGAAATAGAGCCAGTGGACGACGACCATCTACCCGGTTTCCTGATCGATCCCCTCAACAGAACCGTCACCTTTCAACTCCCCACACATCCCTGGCAGATTCGTGATCCGCAGTCAGCGGGGAGTCACAGACTACGCCTTTCAGGCTTACAGTCACGCCACCACACATTACGAAAATACACATTTCCACAGCACCTCGCACCTACCACAGCACAGCAGTTGATGCAGCTCTATATGACAAAAGGTCATTCAAAGGAACACTGCGCCGCGGCGCTGCGGCCACGAGGAAAAAGACGATGCGCCAGCAGAATCACAGTCCTTCACTTTACATTTTCTAATTTACAAGCTCCTTTTCGACGTCCTGCCCTTCCACTATTCATCATACAGGTATTTTCTGATCCGGTCTAGTTGCGCCGATTCGGCTCTTTGTGTGTGTGTGTCCACTCCTGTTTCCAAGGACACTACCCTAGCTCTTTCTAACTTTCCCTAGGACTTTTGTGACCAATGTACAGCAGCAGGGGGGCAACGGCCAGTCTTCTTACGTTGCCCAACGAAGCTACAGAAGACTGGTGGAAGCATTCAGGGACGCCTGAGTGTGTACCTGCTCTCAATTGTTTAAACCATGATTTGTTACAACAATTCCGTTCGTCCGACTTTGCACCTTTTTTCAGTCAAGGTCTAATCTGCAGTAACTCTAAAGGGCTAATGCACACCGCGAAGCAGCCTGAAATCGCGCTCCACGGAGCAACCTTCTCAAGTGTGTGTGTGTGTTTGATGGAGTTGGGGTTGGGACGAAGATGATGAAACTCAAAGCCTCTCACTTCAAGGGCTCGAGCGCCCCAACGTGGGCACAAAAACCTAGCTGTGCTTGTCAAGGGAAGATGTTGTTGGTCAAGGCCCTTGCTTTAGCATCGTGGCTGCGCTTGACTTCCCACAGGGCGCTCCTGTGGATTGGGAAGATGGCCCATTGCCTTCCACGCGGGCTGCATGGGTTCTGGTTGATGCCATGGCTGTGCAAATCCAATTGCCATGGCAGCTGGCTGAATGTGGCGTAGCCGGCGTTGCGTTTGCTATGTGCGTGATCTTGACGCTGCTTTGCTGGCGACACGGCCTATTGTGTAGCAACCGGAGGCACCTTGAAAGCCTACCGAGCCTGGAAGTAGATTAGGCGACTGGGACTCAAGGTGCGCGTGGGACGCAAGGTGTGCGCAGGACGCGAGGTGTGCAAGCCAAGATCCTACAAGCGCCGTCAAGATCCTATGAATCAAGTGGCCTGGAGCGTTTCGAATATCCAGGGTTGGCTAAAAGCAAGAGCGGCAAGGAAAACGTTGTTGCGGAAGAGAGCTGCATGCTGCCGAATCCAAAGAGCTTGGCGCGCTCGGCCTTTGGACCGGTTGGGCGCGAAGACGCTGCAGGACTTTGCAAAAAGAGCTGTGCAGCCACGTTTTTACAGCCTCAGCGACTTTGATCCTGAAGACCTCTTGGAGGAGAAGTTTGAGCAGGGTGCTACATGGCGTGCAATACAAACTGCCCCTGCACTGCTTCAGCAAGCTCCAGCGAGCGCTGCAGCATGCGCTTCAAGCGATGAAGGCTTTGAGGCTTGCAGACTGACCCTCGCCCGCCTTTCGGGCGATGTGGGCACAGCTGCGGTGTTGGCTGAGGAACTGCAAGAAGAGCCTCGGCTGCACTGAGACCTTTTGGATAGCCGAAAGGACGAAAGCGGGCTGTTGGCGCCGTGCTCTGTGTTTGATTCACCCAAACAAGTTACCAAAAATGGGTTTGTCATCGCACGGGCGTTTGTAGCAAACCCTGCGCCCAAATACCGGGGGCATCTTTGTGTTGCTGGTGTGAGATTCACAGATTTAAGGTCCGTAGCCATGTGATTGCAGCAACGAAAGTGGTGGGCGGCGCGGTTTATGAGGTGCATCGGCTTTCAAACGCTGCGTGGAACTCACCGGTCTTGGCTTTTACCAATGCGTCGGGGCTGGACGCCGTTTGCTGGAAAACCTGGAGCAAAGAACCCGGGACGCCGGACACTCTGCCGTGGTACTTCTTGCAGCGCCAAGTGCAATTCAATTCTACCTCCGCTGTGAGTATCGCTTTCTGACGGAAGCCAGAACCTGCGTGGAAAAAGCCTTGTGGTACTTGAGTTGCCGAGCTCCCTACCGTCACGCAGCAATGCTGAAGTATATGTAGCAAGGATGGGTGCAGCAAGGACGGACTTCAGTGCACTGTGACTGTGGCTGCAGCAACGCTGGGGAATCAAAATGGCTGGTTCATCCGCGATTGATCTTGGCTACAATCTCTTCGCTGAAAACGCAAGCGGCATCGGGCGCAGATCCTTGTCCGTCTTTTGATGACATTATCAACTATATGATGTTTTGCCAGGGGCTGTGCAGGCTGTGCATTACATCCACTCCACCAGTCGTGGCCATGTGGTCACATGGTTAAGGTGACCAACTACTTCACCCAGTTCAAGATTGATCAGCAGAGATCACAAGGGTTTCCCCACCAAGAACTGCTTGATGAAGCTAAGGAGCGATTCATCCCATAAATCCAAAGTATGGCCTGCTGTTCACATTCAGAATAAGGGGCGCTGCTATTTGGGAGAGCGAGACTTTCCATGTTTGAAAGATGTTAAATTTGTTCGAACATGATTTCATCTCTTCGCTTTGTCGAGGCCTCCTGCTGGCCATGGCGAGGCTGTGGCGAGCCACCCAAAATACAGAGTCTTGGTGACGACAGCGAAGGGCGTTTAGACAGGCACCGCGCCCTGTACAAAAAGGGCGCCCGAAGCTCACAACGATGGGCAATCGGGATGTTGAACAGCACCACACAGGTTGTTTTCTGCTGCAACCTCGAGCGACAAGACCTGGCACTTAGATTGCCGAAAGTGAAGTACCTCTTTGGGGCATAGTGGGCCTTCTTGTTGAGACAGAGGAGACAGAGTATGACCTGATCCACCAACTTGTTTGCGTCCATCCATGTCTATTGCCCTTCGCGGACGTTTGACGGCCTTGGCGGATGGCCTTGGTGTTTGGACACCCCGTCCAACACTGTCCGACACCCTTCGGCTTTCGTCGAGACGACACCACAGTGGTCCGACTGGTTGGTGTCCCCGCCCACTTTGTCGGTCAACACAGGAATGCTCGTGGAGCCCAGTTGCAAGACTGCATCAACCTGGAGCGGAACGATACCTGCCCGGCCTTCCATTGCGACGCTTGGAGATGGTTGGTCTGTATAGTGTTGGTGTCGTCTGACTTGGGGAAGTCAGATCCGAAAACTTGCCTGGAGCGGTTCTGTTCTTAAAGAATTCGAGGCAGTTAAGAGATCGTAGTGCCAGAAACATCTTCAAATCATTGAAAGATACTACTTGTTCAACAACTGAGCTAAAGGGGCCCCAGGACGCCTGCAATCTTCCATCGCAAGTGCTCCATTTGTGGAACCTCAGCAGCCCGTAGAAGGATCTGTGGACGATCAGAAGAATCATTTATCGGTGAAAAAGAGATCAAGAGACGCAACAAGCAAAGGCCTTCATTGCTGCCTGGCAAGAAGGAGTTGCAGTATACTTCGAACGATAAACGATGCTATCCACTCACTCTTTCTGCATACGTCCCTAGGTGTTCCAAATGTCCAAACAGCAATTGTTTTCTGACCCTGCACAAAAGAACAGGAAGAAACGGCGCTTCGGGTTTTGGGACAAAGTGATCGATTCGTCGAATCGATCGAGGATTTGGGCTTTCAGGCGCAAAGCTACTGCGCGACTGAGGATTTGGGAGCGGTTTTGCGCCCAAAATGCCGTGAAAGAATTGTAAACAAATTGTTCAGTGGTCAGTGGTCCAACAAAAACAAAGTTCCAGCGGTTGGAACAAGGGATGGTGAAGCATGGTGAACCCTGAAGAAACCTATCAAAGTGCGTTTGAACAGTGTCCAAAGTGTTCTTGTTTGTTTTTGTGATTGCGGCCAGGCCTCTTTGAAAAGGGGGTGATGTATCAATACTGTCAGTAATATCATTAGTATCATTTACATCATTTTCAGACTCCCGTGTGGTCCTATTGCTTCACATGCAGAGGGACCTTGTCCTTTGGCAATGCAAAGAACAATATGAAAATTATATATGAGCAGTCCTAGGCGGCCATCTTGGCAGCCAGATGTAGTGACACATGTGGACACCTTGATGTCTAAAAAGGACCATGCTTCATGCTTTGGGGCTCGGCTTGTTTGGGTTGACGCAAGGCTCATGGTGCGGAGGCTGGAGACGCAAGACTTGGCGTGTCGGCTGTTCACGCATTTCGCTGGTTGCAGGATCTCGTTTGTAGTCGAAAGAGTTCCCCGATGCATCGAGTCAGAAGTTTGGGTGACTAGAATCGCCAAGACTCAATGACCCATAAGTCTTAAACAATGCCCTCCCTGCAAAAAAGGGCAGTGGACCATGGCCCCTGGAAAGACCATGAAATCCTTAAGCAAGCAGGGGCTTGTCCACATGTTGATTGCAGGGAGGGTATCAATCAGAGAAAAGCATGTTCATTGTAATTTACTTACTTGCCTTCGGTGAAGAAAATTGATTTGCAATCTCCGGAGCCTGGAAGACATGGCACTCAAGAGGTATGGATAGACCCTCACTTTGGGGTGAATCAACCGGGCAGCCTTCCATCTCCCCAAGCCCCCAGATTGCCATATAGGACACAATATGTAAATGTATGTAATATATTGTATGTCTTTCATGTTTTTTTCACAATACATCCCTGTTCTTTCCATGTTTTGAACCCACCGTTCTGCGACCTCTCTGTATGGCCCGGTGTTTGACACACCGGATCCCTGGCAAGGCTCTCCGTTGCTTGCCGCGTGGCTTCTTCTCCCGCCCCCTTTGCCAGCCGAGCGTGTGCGCGGAAGCGCCGCTCGATGTGCCGCACGCGGAGAAGCTGGGAAGCTGCAAAGGCGTGTCCCGGTGGTTCGAGTTATTGACGACTGAAAGCAAAGTGCAACATTATGGTCTCCTTGTTTTTTTCTCAAGTTGGCTGGTCTTTTCCCAAAAAACTTTTGGAGGTTGAAAGTGACTAGTGACACGGGCTCAACAAACATTAAAGAGCCGAATAATTTTACGCATGTGGTCGATCAACAAGAACTTCCCGTCACGCTGCAGCATGTTCTTTGAATGGCCAGGCACCGCTAGTGGTGGCATTTGTCGCATTTCCTGCCTGGACCTCAGCACAAAGTGAGTTTCGCAACACACGGTCAAGTCATGAAGAAGTTCGAGATGTTAAACGGATGTTGGAACATGGGATTTCTACACATCTCTAGCAATTTGTATCTCTTTTTCTCCGGTTCGGTGTCGGAGCGCAGGTGAGCCAGGTTATGCCCCGGTCGCGGCCTTGCACTGCCTGACTGGCGCCTTCATTCACACCAGCTGTGAGCCTTTGTCAGGTCGAGCTGCTTTGGGTTGAAAGGGTTAGAAGCCGTTGGCTTCCTGAATGAGCGTAGTGCAGAAGCATGCAGAAGCCCAGGTGTATGCTTTTTGGTTTGTTTGCATTTTTTTGCTCAAAGACTGAATGTCAGGAAGCACCAATTGGTACCTTCATTTTGAATCTGAGCAGCGAGTCCATTGTGGGCAAAGCAATGGCTTTAAAATGGTAGACCCCGGGCTGGACGAGTTTCAGGCCTAGCTTGAAGAAATTGATGTCAGCTCGAGAAAAGTCTTTGCAGGCCCACTGTCGCTGGCCTTGGATGAAACCATGCTCCTGGCTGTGCACTTGCGTTTGCCGTATAGCAGCTGGGAGAACCTGCAGGCTGGTCATTTGCACTTTGCCACCGTTGTTGACAGAGCTTTGGGAAAGTAGGAGGCGACGAGGCAGGAGACTTTGAGAAAATAGTCTGAGCACATTTGCCCAATCAAAAAGGGGAGCACTTCCAGAAACTCCTTGTGTTAGGGCCGGTCTAAACTCCTCCTGTGGAGTCAATGTATGGTGTTCGCCTGTCAGAGAGAATTGCTGCAGATGATATGCTGCTCAGAACTCTCCTAAAGCTGTTGCTTGGTGAGGTGCAATCTTCCACGAAAACGCTGAGGGCTTTCGCAATCCCTCCGCAAAAAGCTTGATCCCCACTAGTTGAGACTGATATGTTTTCAACTCACTACCCCTCATGGTTTCGGGTGCTTTTGGTTTGTGCATGCTTGTTCTCCCGTAGGTGAACCACCCGAAGCTCCGCAGCGCCCGCTTGGCGCGCGCCTTATCCAAGCAGTGTGGCTTGCCGAGTTGGCGCCTGGTCGCCAAGGCATCAAGGCGAGACAGGGAGCGAGTGAAACCGGGGCCCTTTCGAGCGGGGCTGTCGGTTTTTAGAGCCATTTCGAGTTGGACTTCAGAGGAAGAAGAAGTCACTATTCTTGGATACCAAAAATCCAGTTTGAGATGTGGTCATGTAGACTTTTGAGTCTATTCAACCCCTTACATGACGAGGTTGTACAATCCATGATTGGCGGTTTTTTTTGATCCGCTTGTTGTCCTGTGTTCCCCGTCGCGGTGTGTTTGCGAAGAATGAAGTTGCAGATCAACAAGACTGGTTTCATCATGGTTCTACATGCTGACACAGGTGCTTTTCGGATTTAAAATAGGTTCTCAAAGAACGATTAGCTTCCAAGAGCAGCATTAAGAAAGAAACCACTCCTTCTCCATATGAAATCACATTTAGGGACCAGGGATTTGCTTTTGGCACATAGCTCAACTAGCAGAAACGGCTGTCGTGTTGCTTGGTAAGTCAGGGCAGACCATACCAGCAGAGGGTGATGATGCAGGCGGCTGCATTTCGTGATGTTCAGAGAAATGGATGGTTCGTTCGTCAACATCTTCGGTTGGACCCTTGGGGATGGAAGAGAGATCAACGGGGGAATGAGCCCCTAGTAGCGTCCTTGCTCCTAGTAGTAAGGCCAGGAGCCCATATGAGCCCCTAGTTACCTAGGCTGGTGAAGATGCAAAAGCTGCTCGTCCAGCGTGTCCAGGCCCTTCTCCATGACAAGTACCGTCTTGGATCTTCTTCTGCAAAGCTGGCTGATTTACATTGCGTGGAAGGGGCACTCCTTCCTCAACTTTTTTGTGTGATGTGCCTGGCCAAAAAATGGATATATGGAGAGAGGCTGGCGAAGAAATGACTTCACAAAAAATGATTACAGCAGTGAAGTGAGCTGCATAGACAAAAAAGGAATAGCTTGGAACACTTGGCGAAAGGTAGCTGTGGGGATGTCAATGGAAATGGAAAGAAGATTTCTTACAATAACAAAAACTGGAAAACATATTGTCTCGATGTTGTTTGGTGTCTCATGTGAGTCCTCACTGGAAGCAATCGTCCCAAAATGACCAAAGCACCCTCCGAAGAAGGCGACTCTTCTCAATGCAGCTCTTGTGGCGGCTTGTGGAGATTCTCCAAAGCCGGCGCCAAGTAATCAAGGCACCTCAAAAATGCCAGAACGATGGATTTTCGGGGTCAAGAACCAGAAGGTTAAATTGTATTCTCAAGCATTCTCAAGCTATATGTGTGAAGGGGCCGGATTGCACGAGTTGCCATAGTCCAACCAGACAAAGGATTTACCGGAGGACACACGGACCGTGCTTAAAACCCCGCCGATGAAATCTTGAGCTTCGGTCTGTCATCCCGGCGCCTCAAAAGTCAAATCATGAAGTTCCCAAACAGCACTTGTTACTACTAGCGTGGCACTTGTTACTAATAGCTTCTTGTTACTACTAGTAAGGCACTTGTTACTAGTAGCGTGGCACTTGTTTCTCCGGTCTCGCCGTGAAAAAATTTCCCAACCCAACTGCCAGGCTCCCAGCGAACTTCGGGGCCCATCAGTATTCCAACAGTCACGCGACCGCACATGGCTAGGCCAAAGTGTCAGCATTAAAGCCTCTAGTGTGGGATGTTGCGTCGTTTGCCGATTGAGAACACTTGAATGTGAGGTATTGATTGTCGGGTTTAGGGTTCCTTTTGGTTCAAGTCATGTCCCGCTTTCCATCATACAAACTGGGAGGTTGACGTAAAGTGATAGCTGGATGTTTCCCCCATCGTTTGTAACATAATGGAAGGACATTGAGCCACCCCTTACCTGCCAGACAAGAATCATGTCAAATGGATTTCACCGGCCAAGAAATCTTTGCTGTCGATGTTGCACTCAACCCATGCATTGACACCAACAGCGTGCCAAAGACTTGTGTTTCAGAATTGGCTCCCCTCTTTGGGACGATTTGACTGGTGTCTCCTCCACCGTGAAACATGTACTGACAGCAAACTGTCAATCATCCAAGTTTGATTGCGCATGTTGAACTGCTCAACCAAAATGTTGATACGGCGGTTTCTGACATTCGCAACCCTAAGCCCCCAAGACAAAAGTGGTCGCTCCAACGAGAAGTCGTGTTGCCCAGTGTCCGCGGCCCAAGCACTGCAACGTGCTAAGCTGGCGCTGCTCCTTGGAACAAATGGAGGTCGCGATGGAGACCTGGGTCAATTTGGCGAAAGAAATACATCACAAGACCTTCGGAATTTGGTCAATTTGTCTATAGGCCTCTCGCCTTTTCACTACTAGAAGGGTGCATTCCCCCCATGTATTTGGAGTGATCAAAGTGTTGATGTTTGGATGATTTCGTCACGGAGATGAGTGATCAAAGGTCTTGGTGAGTGGAGTCATGAAGTGATCGATAAACAGCTTGAAGCCTCCAAGCCTCCAACACAAAGGAGAACTGACTCAGTGAAGTTAGAGTCTCAGATACCATGGGGCAGGACTTCGGAGTTTTCCACCAATCTGGGAACTCATTGGAATGCCAAAAAACTCTCTGTGTTTCACATGCCCAAAGCCTATCCACCAAAACCAAAAAAGCACCGGGTTCCTTTGAAGTGCACAAAAACAATTCCTATCTGGGTCATTGCTTTTTGTCCACCATGCCTGTGGCCCTCTTCCCACCGTCAGGAAGGTGCCTGAGAAGCTGCTCAGGCAGGTCTTGCTGCTTGGCATCGAAGGTTGCCACCAAGTACAGGTGGTGAGCGTGGATGGCCTTGGTTGGTTGATCAATATAGGGAATACCCCCAAGGATACAACCAAGGTATGTGATGCCAAAAGGACATCATTGGTGATGAGCATCCACTGCCAGTGCTTCCCAAACAGAACATCGCAGTCTTCTGGAATGGGGAGCAGATTGGATAGTCCAGGCTTGTCCCTGGAGTGTTATTTCTTGAATCTGTTTGAAGCATTCGGCGACAGTCGCTGCCTTCCAAAGGAAGTGATTCTGGGGTGCTTTGCGCGCATCTTCGGTTGCCCAGGTCCTTCCCTGGCGGAAAGGAGATTGGCGTCGAGCGATTGGAGGTGGCGATGGCCTCAAAACATTGACAGAAGTAGTTGCTGTCGATTGCCACTTGAGATGTTCACCCCAAGCACTGCAATATTAAGATCAATTGTAAGTGAAAGATAGAAAAAATCAACTCGCTACATTAAACGCCATCTTTTGGGGCAACAAGCAAGTGGCCGCAGTGACGGTTGATCCACGAAGACAGGCGGAGCCACAGATGACTTCCATAGGACTCCAGTGCCAAGACAACCTACCAAATCCAAGAAGCAGAAGTATGAAGAGCTGAATGTCCCCGAGCAAATTTGTTTGCTTTTCTAGTTTCACAAGACCGGGTATGTCTTGGTTGATCATCAAGGTGTTACTGAGTTAATCCTGTGGAGCATGTGCGAGTCCACAATCCTTCATCAGAAAAGATTGAAAAGACTCGTGGTTCCTTTTGAAGGTGTCAAAGGTGATGAAAGGGGTGAAAGGCTTACACTCCGACTCACTAACACGGAAGTGAAACATTGCCTTTGGAAAGACAAATTATTTTCCTCTACACAACCAGGATGATTTCCACTTCCTTGTTGGTGAGTGTGACCGTTGAAACCCGCTCATTGAAGCACATCGAGAGACACTCCAAGAAACTGCGTGGTGTCGAGGTGAGTCGCACCGTGGGGAGGTCGGCAACTCAGCTCCAGAACACCGAATAAAGATGCCCAGTATCTTTCAGTATCTTTCAGGATGCCCAGAACCTAAAGCACTTAAGGATGTGTGTTCATCCTCCTGTGGTCGAGCACGCCCACGATCTCAGCCCATGTGTTCGGGCCTCCCAGCGGACGGAAACGCTGCAGACCTCAGAACCGAAGTCGGCGAGATGGACCGCAGAGGTCACTGAGGCCTCATGTGAGGGGAATGTGTCCGATCTTCGGGGAAAAGAAAGGCAGGGTGAAGTTCCACATCTATTCCCATCTATTGAGACGGAAGGTTGCATGCAACCGGGTACGAACAGAAGTTCCACAAGCTCTCACAGCGCCTATGCAGACAAGAGCTGTAGATGTTGATGATATTTGTATAGATATTTGTATAGATATTTGTAGGTTTTTTGAAAGGCTAGGGATCGTTGGATCAAGATGAACCACAGCCAGTGGAATCATTGAGCCACTCCCGAATCGCTTCGCCAGTTCCACTCTTTTTTGGGTCGGCCCCAGCTTTTCTGCGCGGTGAGGCGTTTACCTTGAGTGGTCACCTGTGCCCCTTGGTCTGTGAGGCCGGCTTTGCCTCTTGGACGCAGTTCGGTCTTTCGGGTCCACAGGACAGGTGTGAGGCGATTTGCAGCACAGCTGGGTGGATGGAGTTCTCCACTTCGGTCAACGGCCGCTCAGCGGACGGTCTAAGGTACATAGTGGAAGCCTGGCGTGCCAGGATGGAGTCGGGGTGCCCCAGGATCCTTCGGCTGGATTCGCTGCGGGTTCAGTTTTCTTCATTGAACGAGATGTAGAAACTCCGCAGTGCCTTAGTGAGCAAGCCCTTCGTGAGGAACCCTCAAACCTGAAATCCAAGTATGTGAATCCAAATGGGACGGATATCCTTTTGACAATGGTCAAAAAAGACTTTTGTCCTCCATCACAGTCCTATAGAAGCTTGGATAACTACCAGCTTGTCAGCTTGTTTGCTCCTTTTACATGTGTATACATGGCCCACGGCATTTGTTCCAGGATTCCAGGTTCACGCGCAACCACTCTTCCGCACCTAAACTTTCCTCTCATTTCAAGATATTAGAAGCCTTGTAGAACATTGTAGAAGATGATGTAAAACATTGTAAAATGCAGTTGTGTACCCTTTGTGCGGGCCATCCATACCTTTCACTACTGGAGCTCGTGGTCGCTTGCGGTCGCTTGCGGCTTGCTTGCGAAACCGTTACGGGATGTCCTCATCTTCAAGTCAAATGGGTTGCAGCTGTTGAAGAAAGAAACCTGAAAGACCACCATGAGAAGAGGAAAGCACTGTGTTTGTATGTAATTTGTCCAGTCTCCTCTATTGCCCAGTAGTACAAGTTGCCTTCAGAGGAAAATCAGGCAGGAAAGATGGGGTGTAAGCTTTGTGATCAGCTGGCTGCCACAGCAACCCAACCGACCTTCGTCCGCAATTGTGACATGGTTTTGGGCTCTTGGAAACTTGAGGAATGGTTGCGTCCTCACTGCGCCGTGGCCTAAGCTCTTTGCATAGAATGTGATTCAACACCATGGAATGGTCTGGCCACAACTCGGCACAATCGTGTTTCTTGGGCTTTGGGGACTCCAGCTCGATGAGCACTCAGACTCAGATGAAGAAGTGGCCACAGGGATGGATGTGGGGGGGTACTCCCTAAAGCTAAACCTTCCTGGAAATTGTGCGATGTCCTAGAATTGAAGAACAGGTGGTTGTGAAGTTCAAACACTGTCTAGTTGCTGGTTGTTTCTTCTTTATCTTCAATCTTCACCTGGGATGATATGGGATGATTATAAAATCCTCAGCTAGGAATCACCGAACTTTGGGAAGATTTTAGAAGCGATTCTTGCTTGAACATCATAGTTGTTCACCCGAAAAACATAGAAACAATCCATCATTGTTGGACGCATTCTTGGTGTTTTACGTGGCTTGGACATCGTCGCTTCTTGCCGGCTAATGTGAAGACAAAAAACAAGATGCCCGGTCCTTCCCGGCCTCCAACCTAATAGCAATGGCCTCCAACCTAATGCATGTACATCATGGTATGTAAGAGTATGATTATGTATGGACCAAGCGATCCTTGCCGAACGAGGAAGAGATCTCCTGTGACAAAAAGCCAGATGTGGAGAATGCCGAGGAGCCGACCTGTGCGGTATCAAAACCGACATTTCTTGGGGCGGTGTGGGCCGAAATCCGCACTATTGTTCACGGAAACACCCATATAGAATCTTGGGAATCTTTAATCTTTGCACCTATGGAGTCGGTGCAACTTTGGAATCTGGGTTGTGGCCGCAGCAACTGTGACACGCAAGATGTTGCAACGCGTGGGCAAACTGTCTCATTTTTTGCTGGTGCCCCTGAATCGGCTGTTGGGGTGTCCAAGGAGGTGTGGTATTGTGTGCGGTTTGGCCATCAACTGCTGGTGTCATAGTTCAACTAGAAGCATCTGGAATCTAGAAGCATGTAGGGATACATATGAGCTCTCAAGAGATCTTCAAGAGGTGTTCCCCCAGCCAAATCAGTCAAAGCCACCCAGCAGGACCTCTCGCATTGCGCCAACAGCGCTTGGTGCTCAGAGCGCCCAGTGTGTGGAAGCCACCCCACTGGTCCACGCGGAGAGCGTCAACATGAACGAAGCACGCAAAAAGGTGCAAAAAGTGGAATCCATGAAGCTCGCATACGTGACCACCATTAAATTCAGACACTTGTGGGATGTAGTTAACATCCTTCAAACATGAACAAAAATGGTTGGTCAATCCCAAATGGGTAGTAACACCGGTGATAACTGTAGAACTGCGAGTGAGCGTGTGTCAACGGGGTGCCGTTTCTTCCCCGCCGCATGTCCAAGGCCTCGGGGTCGCTGTGCGGCTTGGAGTGCCAGGCAGGCTATCTCAGGCGTGGCGGCCACGGATGGTGTTTGAAGGAATTGGTTTTTCCGTCGATTGGTTCAGGAAACAAAAAGGAGGATCACTGATGGGAGGGCATTGAACCAGTCGACTAAGGCATTTGATGTCAAAAGTTTGGAGAACTTGACACTTTGAGAATTTCGGAGTTACCGCTTACGGTTCAAAGCGAGGGAGGGCCAGCAAAGTGCGTTGGACTTGTATTGAGATCAGAACATGCTTACAAGAAACGATTGGCTATACACGCTATCAGCTCTCCCTGTGTTAGGATCACGGATGTACTTTGTACCAGCATGCAGCTTCATATATCTCCACATCTAAGCAGATAAAGGGATACACCTGCTAGCTTCCCCGTTTCAAAGATTCCTTCAGCGGCCGTAGAACGAACTGTCGGAGAATTCATTCGCTAATTTGCAGCCACGCTCCAGAAACACAGAGGCAAAGGTCTCATCGATCTCACTCTCACTGAGCCCTTTTCCTGGTGAATCGAGCACCCTCAACTGACTATGATACCGAAAACACCGACACTAGGACTGGTGACCTTGAATGTCATCGAGGTGCTTGGGTGCGCTGCCCAGTTTTTTCAGAGGAAGGGAGGATGGCTCTTCCGGGATTTGAAGACTCCGTCCTTTGAAGGCTTAAGTCAGCCATGACATTCTTGGCCACAGAACGCTCAGCTCCTTCTTTGGAGTGTCCATCCATCGGAAGAAGCCGCGGTGCGCTTCTGAGCCACCGAAGTGCTCCAGTGAGGTCGGAGGAGAATGCCGTCCAAAACGCTGCAGGCATGTGTCACAGACTCAGCTTTTTGGGTCATATTTGAAGAAGTGATTCGTTGGGTTCTTTCTTCAGGATAAGGAGGATAGAGAGAGAGGTGCGTCCGTCAAATTAAGCAAAGGGAAGCAAAGGGTTCAATACTCCAACTAGATCCCCTCATGTCATGTTGGCGAGGATTTCTTTGAGGTGGCTCCATGAATCAACACAGTAGCGCTTGTTTTCCCCACCACACGCCGAATGACGCCGAGGCCTCGTGTGCTGCATGCGGACCAGCATGCCCTGAGCCGGCCGGGGACTCTTGAGAGTTGCCTCCATGTGCGATACCTGATGCTTTGAAAAAGCCTACAAATGGCTTCATCCACAGTCCAAATGATTTAGTCTATACGTGCACAAGACATGATGTCATACTCTCCATAGTGAAGGTATGATGCAGAACACTTCGGAACCCGAAACTGCTGAGATGGCTGAAACGTTCCCATATCCCACATACTTCAAACTGACCCAACCTTCTATATAGGCCCTATAGCCTACAGGTGTGTGTTGAAATGATGGGGGTCCTCCAACCAATCATCAATGAGCTTTTCCAGGTAACTGCTGCTGTGTTTGCTCAGCGCACTCAGATGTGCTCGTGCCTCCAGGTGTCGCAACTTAGAATCTGGCTCTGCCGGGCAACCAAGCTGTCGCATCCGGTCTGGTGAGGAGGGCGGGGCGATACCCTGGGGAGCACGGGGAGTTGGAGGGCCTTTGTCCGGTGTCCCTTCTACAAAGGGTGTTCCGTTTCACGAGTAGCTGAAGGATTTTGAAGACAGATAACTCCAACAAGTGTATAGATGTTGCCTCAAACGTATTTCACCTGCGTTAGACCGTTAGGCCACTTGCTCTAACATGCTCTAACAATGTCCTGCTCAAAGCAATTGAGTGTTGGAGCAGACCATCTCGTCGGCACCGGGCCTACCCTTCGTACGACATTGCCAACCGTGCAACCCATTGGATCCCGATTCTTCGCTTGGTCCTTCGTTCTTTCTGCAGTCCACAATGAACTGCAATTCTTTCTGCACAATGTTGGTGTGCAACCTGCAGAAAACCTGGACTGATTCGTGGAATCCTTTCTCTTATTTGATTCATGCCAAACTCCTTCTTGCTAGGAGTTCATAGGAGTTCCCCATATGAGGGCTGGAAATCATTGATATTTTTATCGAAACCGGCACTGGAAGTCACTTTCAAATACTCAGACTCCTTGCCAGACTCGTAGTTTTGGATACTGCCCGGAATGCACTTTCAATTTTGTCTAAGACTCTTCGGGATTATTGAGACCTGCAGGGTCGACAAGGTCCACAGTAAGCTGCTTGGAATGTAGACCCTACTGTCGCCAGTTTTGGAATGTTTGACACTTTTCGAGCCTGTCGCCCTCATCCACTCCGGGACCGTTCGCCCAGGAATGCACCTTGCAGTGTGAAGCCGGCTTTTTGCCCACAGGTGAGGGGGGAGCAGGAGCGGTAGAAGCCAAATCAAATGTCAGGAACTTGGAGAGCTCGACCTCATCAGGAAGGAATGAAAGCTATGTCATCTCAAATTGGAATCATTTTCACTTGCAGTGCAGCTTGAAACTTGGCAGAGCACCCATAGTTTTGCCATGACCTGCAGGTACTGGGAAGCTGCAGTGTCATTTGGGCAACTTCAGGTGCAGACTGGAGAAAGAACTCCCGACAAATATTGGCAGTCGAAGAGCAGAACAGGGCAGAGTATGAGTCTTTTTGTGGTCATCCGAAGAAGGGGTAGCCGGGTAGTTCCAAGTGTTTGCCTTCGCACCCGTGACAACGGACTGGCTGCCAGCCCCAACCCCCTTGGAATCCAAGTGAGACCGGACTTAGAGTCTGACTTAGAGGTGGTGATGAGTCCAGCGAAAACGAACGTTGCCCTCCCCACAACGCCTGTTGGAAGAAACGGCAAACGGAAAGAATTTCCCAGAAGCGAGATGAAACAAGAAAGCTTTTTGTGGAAGAAGACGATCGACGGGAGCAGGTTGCAGAGTCTTTGTGAACCAGCAGCTTGTCACCAGATGCCCAAGGTGCATGTGCGATTCGGGACGTTTCTGTCGCACTCAACAGGCCTTAAAAGGCAGGATCATAGACATGACGGAGGGTGCTGGAGACTAGAGCTTGCCACAAGGTGTGATTTGTTTTGACGGGTAATCGAGTGATTGTGTTTTGAGGTGTGTTTTTGGATAAGATTTTGGGCAAGTACCTGACTTCAATCCATACTTATTCAATTTGTGTCCATGACCGAAGGATCCACAACCTGACCGCAGTCTCCTGAATGCCAAACCGTTTGGATGACTTGTGGGAACGAGCCAAATATCATTACACCAGGTCGTTGGATAGTGCATATTTCTTCAAAATCTTATGAATTTTGAAAGGAAGATCTCTCCGATCTCATCCGATCTCAGACTTCGGTTCAATGTTTACCGGAACCTATCGGTTTTGTCGCGGGCGGTTTCTCGGACCGAGCAGGTGCGGAACAGCGCTTCCAACCTGGCAGAGTGCAGTGGCCTGGAGCACAGCACCGTTCGGGGGACCCAGAGGAAGGAAACCATCCGCGCGCTATCGGCGAGATCGGTGTGCTTGCGGTTGGGTTCGGAGGACGTTCGGAGGCGCTTGTAGTGTTTCGCGCGATGGTTTGATATCTTCAGAGTCCGTGCTGAAACCCTCCTTGTTCTTTTGTATTATTGATCTCTTTAGCTTGAACTGGGGATCAAGTTTGGGCATCGCCTCTATCATGTTTTCTCTTTCTTTATGGTTTGGTGCACCTGCACCACTTGTGCTTCAGACCTGCGACTTCAAGTGCTCAGATGGTTACCAGAAGGCCAGCGGGTCGTCCTTGGCACCCTTGGTGAAGTGTTTCTCTCACTCATCAGGCATTGATCCTCATTTTAGTATTGTATAACATTTTGTTGTGTTCGTGGTTCCAAAATAATGGCCGAGGACATGTGCAGCTGGCAGGTGAACTGGTTGATGTGTCCGAACTCACCACCAAGAGCCAAGAGAAAGCATCAAAGAGAAAGCATCACAAGCAAATGAGAACGCTTGAGATACATGCATTGAACATCTGTGTGTGGTTTTGCAGTAAAAAGAAAGGCGACAAACCACAACAACCACTGCGACACGCGTGCGACACCGGCAGGTCGGGATGCTGCAATGCTTCCACGGTCGCTTCACCTCCGCAAGGCCGCGATCTCGGTGCGTTGGTGCCGAGTAGGTGGAGGGGTGGAGGATGGTTGGAGCAGATGTGAGTGTGGTTCGAAGGACTTTTTGAGCAATTCCAATTCTGTGAGATCTGTACGCCGTCGCTTCTGGTGTCGATGAAGTGGAAGAGTCAAAGTGCTTTCCTGTTTGAATATCCACCACATGTATTCTACTTTTGGTCAATTGTAATCTTTGAATCCTCACCCTTCATCATCTTGGAGATGCAAAGTCCTGCTTCTCAACAACCAGGATCCATTGGCATATGCAATGTGAGACAAGCCCCAAAGCCGAAAGAAAGGCTCAAATGTCTCAAAAGGCACAAGCATCAAAGTCTGTGACTGCAGTCTGTGACTTTGATCGCCCGCCCCCTTGCAAGGTGTGAGCCAGCAGACTGCAAGGACCGTCGAGCTGGAAGAAAATATTGCAAGAGTCAAGTGAGGTAGAAGGGCAGCAGCATTCCTATCGGTCCAAACCAAACCACCCCCAGAACCATATAGGTGAAACAGTCAACACATCAAAAGTCTCTCTTGGAAATTGTTGATCTTCGTGGTCCAAGGGCTAACCAGTGCCTGACAGTTATAGCATGTTATAGCCTTCACCAACTGTCGTCTTCCCCGATTCTTGCAGTTGCATGGGAGTACTCGTGCTAAAGATTCCTGAGTCTTGCTGCTCAGCAACTGTCATCATGCGACGCCTGAGGTGCCTTTGGAAGAAAGCATAATTTAGACCTGTGGCGTTCCGTCAGTCACCAGAAGATCCTGAAGACGGCTGTTTTGGAAATACATGAGTATGGATGGCTCTATTTCGGACCACATTCTACAGGAGTTTACATCCAAATGCCTCATCTTTTGGTCGCATGACCTTCGCAGCTTGGATCAGGAGCCACCCCAGATCGAAGGCCTCTCTGAACACGAGGCTCTCCGCTGTGTGTGCGGACGCCCACTGCATTCGACCGTTTGTGAAAGGCGCCCGCCTTTGGTAGAAGATCGAGCATGCAGTGCAAGCCCCTACGTGTGGGTTCCTTGCGGACACAGTAGGCCCTTATGACTCAAAATAGCAGGCCCTGATGCCCTTACGTGTGGGTTCCATAAGCCTAGATGAGATGACAATGAGTCAAGATGGCAGGCGTGGGTCGGCTATCATGGCAGTGTTCTGAGGCCCCGCCGCTCGGGCCAAAGCTGCAACGCCACCTGCGACTTCCCCATGCGGATGCTGCCGAAGTTGATCTGCAGCTCGGGGGACCCGGAGATCAGGATTCGGGGTATTCGGTTGATGTGGATGTCATCATTTCAGGTTGAACAGGAAGAATGGTAGAGAAACCCAATGCTCGGAGCAACTTGATTGGCTTTTTCCAGTGTTTCGGACATCATCAAAGCCTCATCGCCAAGTAGCAGGGCCAGCCACATTCATCTCAACTCTGAAATTACTTGAACAATATCACCAGCCTAAAGTGTTGCAGGCCGTGTAGAAAGACTAGGAAAGTGGGTCCTCTAGGTCTCTTCTACCTTTGACACACCAGTCTCACATGAATCCTCACTTGCTGAGCACATGTTGGAAAGAGGCCCGATTCCGCTGGCAGGTCATGGCAAGTGGCCGGACGCCAAATGTGTGTCGCACACTCAAAGGACTTTTCCAACCAGCTCTTTTTGGTTCAAGGGTTGTTTTGCAGTGACATGAGTTTCAAGTGCCTGTGCTTTGTTTCTTGTCCTAGTAAAGAGAAGACACACAGTGATGGTGATGCTGATGCTTAGTGTCAATGCTGGTCGATAGTCGTGCTGATCGACTGCACCATTGCTTTTCAAGAAATCGCACATGTTCATGAGCTGGAATTAAAACCTTTGAAATCTTTGAGGCATAACAGACATGTTAGCTGAACACTTCACCTTTACTGCGTGGGTTATGAACTAAGTACCTAACGCCATCTCACGCCTGAGGCCTTACAGCAACCCTGGTGGGGAAGCTTGTCACAAGAGCCCCGCCCAGAGCTCAAGGGTACCTACAACGCACACCGGTGCAAGATGGTTGTTCTTAGATATGTTAAGTGGACTGATAAAGAAAAGCATAGGAGAGACCAGAGTCTTCCTCCAGATCCCCTAAGGCCTACACAATAAACCGAGCCAAACCGAGCTTTGCCAGTATCATCGCCGAAGTCTGCCTTCCAGGTCCTGGAGCGAGCGGAGCAGTTGGAATGCACGCATGGACAGCATGGGGATGTATGCGAGGCCGGATTTTTTGGGCAGAAAGACCAGTCACCGGGGCAAGACTCGAAAGGAGTACACCGGGTACATGTCATGCTTGACTCCGGCGAAGTGTCGTCTTTGAACTTCGGAACGGTAGAGTTGATGCGACTCCGATGGGTCTTATATGAAAGTCGAAGTGGAAAGAGATTTCGCCATCTCTGTAATTTGACCTTTCTGGGCGTTCGCCCCACGTCTGTGAGGCCTCCTGCATTCGCGGATATGCCTTAAGCCGTCCATTGCTCCTTGGCTGGTAGCGCCGGATGTGGGTGGAAGGTGGTTCCGACCCTTTTGTGTTTGCAATGTGGATCAATTGACAGGCTCGAGCTCGCTGCATCCATTTGTTTCCGTCTCCAATACACCTTTGAAGATGGGCAAGAGAAAGCTAGAAGGGTGTCACGTAGCCATATGGGGGCCGGGCGATGTCCTTTGGTCGGCTGGATGAGCGTGGATAATTCAAAGAAAGTGGGTAGAGAATGGTAGAGATCCTCTCGTGACTCAAAATAGTAGATCCTCTCAAGCAACGTGTTTCAATTATTTCTAGATGATTCTAGACGGTTGTCCAGTTCCCCCTCTTTCTTAATTCAAGATGCATGATACATCTATATATCATCATCTATCTAAGTGATGCATTGCGGCATGGGCTTTCTCATCAGCTCCTACAGAGTTCTCGAAAAAATGTTCGAAGGAATAGGTCTGGCGGCTCCGTAGTGAACCCTGGAACCGCTGCATCGTAAGGATGTGCTTGGACAGCCTTTGGTCTTCCTCCAGCTGTGAGCCCTTGTCCGCCCCTGAGCTTTCTGTGCCAATTCGTGAGCCAGTGAAACCTGCAAGGAATGGCAAATGTAGACTGTTCCACACTTGGTTCCTTTGGTCAGGCTTAGCCCACGAGCGAGCAAGTATAGCAGCGTTTCTAACCCTTTGAAGAGAGCTGGGAAGATGAAATCCGAGCCCAGGGTAGCGGTGGTTTACCACAGGGAGTGTAACTTTATGGTTCAAAGTGCGAACTATTGCCTAGCAAGGGTGAAGCATTTTTGCAGGCCTAAGTCATGAATTAGATTGGTGTGTCATTGCTATGTGCCCCGACATGTTTACAACTTCATCGCCGCAGAAAGCCTGGCATAGATCATTGGAAGCTTGTCAGACAGCTGTGTGCACAGCCGTCACTGAAAATAGCCCACTGCTGAACAGGTGATCAGATCATGTTTTAGGTATGGTCCTAAAACTTGGAGTTGCTGAAGCAGATCCGACACTAGGGAGATGCCAGACCGCATTTTTCCCAGTTCAAACAGCTCTTACACTTTTCACCAGCCATGCGATCTCGAAAGCATCGTCGCAATCGTCTCTCCGCTGCCCTCCTGCTGCTCCTCCTGTCCGTGTTGCTCGGACGCAGCCACTGGCCCTCCGCCCTGGCGGAGTTGCCTTTGAGCGCGGCGGAGCAGCGGCATTTGCACCAGGTGGTGTGGAGGAAGTCGATGGCGGCCATCGCGGAAGGGAAGATGCGGCCGGGCAAGGAGTTGGAATCTTTGGCTGGGATCGTGGGATGGTGATTGATGTTGGGTGGCCCAAAAGCTGGCAAGGTCCAAAAGAGCCATGCAGACTCAGATGAGCCTAGATGACAACCACTTCTTGCTGTGCTTGTATGTGGAATTTATATATCTGGGGTTGGGACCATTGCTCATGTGACGACTGCTCAGGTGCGAAACATGTTTGACTTCTGCATCACATGACTGTGGACGTTCAGAAAACGATTTGAACATGAAACCCATAGGAGCCCTGCAGCCCGCAGACTCCCACCGAATCCTGCAAGGAACTCATTTCCGCTTTAGATTTGGGAACAATCCCATGGAGCCACGTGCCACGGCGGCTGAAGGAGACTCTCGTTGCTTTGGGAGATCGTCACATCCTGCGGTCTAGTCCAATCAGTCTGTTGGTGATTTCTGTCAAGGCAGTGAAAACTGAAGGCGGCCCCAATGTTGCAATGAAATGCTTTGGTGCTCGGTTCTTGCTTTCTGATCTTTGGTTCTTTTGTTTTCAGAATTGAGGAGTGTTGACTCTTCCAGTTACTGGTACTTTCGGGGGTGGATCATTGACCAAAATTGAATGGTTTACCTTTGAAAACTCAGCCCTACGCCTCAACCAACTCTCGGCTGGAATCTGAAGCTTCCCAAGCAATGGTAAACATGTCCAAACCTTTTGGGGTGTGATTTCCAGAAGTGGCCAAGCAGAACATGTATGTAAACATAAGTTAAGTATAGTGTTAACCAGGTATTTTCCATGGAAAGCTGAAGGGAGAAGTGAAGCTGCCTGTCTCCTCTCCGGAGGATCACTTCGAATTGCCTTTGGGCGACCGTGGCATCGACTCCTTGGCCTTGAACCTCACCGTGGCCGTGCAAGCCAAGGACTACACCGATGGCGTGGTGCCGCTGAACCGGCCACTGGGGCCGTTCAATGCACCGCCCAAATGGAATGAGCGACCACCCCAGGTGAAAATGAGGTATTAGGATGTATTAGGCCAATAAAATCATGTCCAGTTGCATGTTGCTTCCCCTTCGTGAGACGAAGATGATGTTGGTTTGGTTGAAAGGCCCCCAGTTTGTAAAGCAAGGTGGTTTTGTGGATCTCTGGAAAAAAAGAAGACTAAAAGACCCAATTGTTGCCGTCCACACAGATTTGAGGGTTTGGTTTCACACTAAGTACATTGTCGACCGCTTGAGCTGGTGAAAGCAACTGAGCCAACGACACCTGACAAAAGAAGGTGCAACTTAAGCACTCGAAAGAGCATAAAGGTAGGGAATGGACTGTATTGCGTATCTCTCGATCGTTTGGGGAACTTGAGGTACCCTGAAAAATGGGATATGTAAAAGGATTGTGATTAGTTAGAACTGTTGTTGTTGATAAGATATGTTCAATTAACCGAAGAACCAACCAAGTTGACGTTCCTTGTTGTGATACAGGTTCAATATGCGATGAGGAATCAGACTTATGTCATAACGAGGAACCAGAAAATGCATATCTCAAAATAGAAGGACCCAAATCAATGGTTGCTGTAGTCTAGAGACCTACTGTAAGACATCTGGGGGCCCATATTTGGGGACAAAAGCTCTTGTGCATTCAAGTTGAGGCTCACCAACTTCCACTTCTGGGCTACAGCCTCACCATTGAAGAACTACCTCCAGCAGTTGGTGGTTGCCACCAGCGCGGGCACGCGGCTGCCGGAGGATTGGCAACGCAACAGCGGCGCGGAGCAGCGAGTGTATGGAGAGGAGGAGTTGGAAGAGTGGAGAAGGAGAGCGCGGTAGCTTGGATGATGAAGGGGCCAGGCCCTCAGAGTGTACTCACTGGTACTGTATACCCAAAAAACAGGGCAAACTGGTTGTAATACTCCTGGTGCCTTTGGGGTAGGACCTTAGGTAGGTGATGTTTCGCAAGTGGTAGTAAATCCCAGAAGAGGTTTGCATTGTTTTGTAGCCTGCAAGTGTTTTGCTCAGGGTTCTGAAGCGTGGCAATTGTCAACAACCATGGAAGTGATATTCCACTTGTGTTATTTGGGGTGTATTTTGGGAGACAATGCTATTCTCAAACCTTTGTTTTTGGAGGTGAGAGGGCCGGGCGGTGGCGTTTGTTCACAAAGGATGCAAGAACCTCCAAAGCAGCTGTCGAGACCATCGAACATCAACTCGGAACGTTGGCCACATCAGATTGAGTCTAGGCTTACATTGTCCTTCCTTTTGTCATCTGGTATTTGGCACTCGCAAGAGGGCAAGCGGCAAAATAGGATTCTTGAGGTTTTGCATGACTCTCACTCCCTCTTGTGTTATTCACGATGCACAAGCGTGGAACACTTTCCAAGCAAAGTTGTTTGAAGCACCGATGAGGAGTGTTTGAAGCATTGCAGGGCTTTTCTGAAGGATGAGACCAAGCGAGATTTCTTTGTGCAGATTGCCACAGGTGGTGGGAAAAGTCTCATAATGGCAGACCTTCTGGATGAGCTGGCTGATGGAAAGCAGGCATGTGTGGCCTGAGATTGAAAATCCAATGTTTTTGGGTTCTGCTGTAGTTCTCACTCAAAGATCCAGACTGTAGTTCAAGTTGGAAACCTAGACAGAATGAAAACAAGATCCAGAAATGTCCTTCACACTCAAGGTCTCCCAACCGTTTTATTGCTGCTAGTTGTATTTCTATGCTGATATGTTTGATTAATCTATCGCAAAGCCAAGGTGATCGTTCCAAAGCTTGACCTTATGGAACAGATCGGTCAGCTACTCGAACAGAAGTTCCCCCATCGTCACGTGTCGCGCGTGGGCACCGGATCGCCGGCGAATCTGAGTGCAGAGGTGTTCGTGTGCGTGCGCAATTCGGCCTGGCAGCTGGAGAATCTGACCCTCGACTTGTTACTACTTGATGAGGCTCACCACTATGAACCGTTTGCAGGACCAACCTGGTCAAATGAAGCCAGAATGACATTTATGTAGGGTGTTCTCAAAAATATGTCAGAACTTATTTGCCAATTGGCTGTTTTGTAAAGCTAGTTGAGCCTCTTTATTAAATTGAATGATCCTGAACATGTGTTGTTTTCTTTCTTTGCCACTCGACTCGCAGGAGGAAGTTCCGGCGCTCTTGTCGAAGATCGCGACTTCAACGGTGGAATCCACGCCAAGCGCATTCTGTCGCTTCAGGCGGCCAAGAGGATCTTCTTCAGCGCGACATTGCGGAACCCGCCGGATTTCGACTTCGGGCTGCGGCCGGCCATCCGTGCCGGGGTGATCAAAGACTACACGGTAATGGTGCCTGTGCTGACGGAGGGCGACCCCCGACCAAGCTTGGTAGAGCTGATCAAGGACATGTCTCCTGGACTGTGCTTTTGTTATATATTTGCTTGGTTTTTGCAGGCAAAGAGCCTGTCTTGATTGTGAACTGTTCTCAGGAATGGAGGGTTGGTTGATTGATTTGACAACCAGAGGCCTTTGGCAAGGAAGATCCTGGCGTTTTGCAACACTGTCCATGAGGCTCTAGACTTTACCGCTCTGTTGTCCAACGCTGGCATTGCTGCTGCCCACTATAATGCACACACATCTACATCAGAAAGGCAGAACATTTGGAATAACTTCCAACATGCTGAAGCTCATGGTGGAATCCGGGTTCTGGTGACGGTTGCTCACTTGGGAAGCGCAAGCACTATTTTGAACTGTAGTCATTCCTGGGTAGGAATCTTGTAGTGTTATGAATTCTCCAATGTGTTAGTGATGTTAGTGTAGCCACTTCTCCAGCACCGATGGAGGTTGATGTCCTGAGTGAAGGGGTGGATCTCCCGGCTGCTGACACTTGTTTGTTTGTGGCACCACGCAGGGGCATCAGACTGCAGCAATGTGTGGGAAGAGTGCTGCGAGAACATTTCGACAAAGTGGATGTACCTTTGGCATGTTTTGAGAAGTTCTGTTGAAGATAAACAATCTGATCCCTCAGACTTACGCTTTCACTGCCCTGAATTTCAGGCCTTGGTGATTGCTCCTCCCATCGTGCAATATGCCAACAGCACCTGTTTGGAAGATGCTGAGCTGAGTCACTTGCTGAGTGACCTCGCGAGTGCAGATCCAGTGTTCCAGGACTCCCTCCGAACGAATGCAGAGACACCCAACAGACGAGTCGGTGTATTGGCAACGACTGACATGCAGCCCATGCAGGTGCAAAGTATGTTGGAAGCTGCAGCTGAGGTTTTGCGAGTTCACGTGATTCCAAATGTTTTGGGAAGGTGTCATCTGTATTCAAGGTGGCAGAAGGGAGTGCAAAAGCTCCAAGCCTTTAAAAACTCGCATGGTCATACCAGGGTGCCCCAGATGTATGTGACAAGTGACGGCATCAGACTCGGGTGGTGGGTCAGCACACAGCGCGTGAAGAAGTCCAAACAGAAACTTACCAAAGAGCAGGTCGAGCAACTTGAAGA